ATGGGGTCACTCACACAGGTTCCCTGTGGCCATTGGACACGGGGTCACTCACACAGGTTCCCTGTGTCCATTGGACACGGGGTCACTCACACAGGTTCCTTGTGGAAGCTGCTCCCAATGGCCAGGCCACCGAGCTGGATGCCCCGCATGGAACAATGCTCCTGAAAACACGCAGGGCCACAGCGCTGAGGTGAGCCCTGCCTGGGGTACCCCTGCACTCCAACAGGAGGCTTGGCAGGAGTCATGGAGACAGCTAGAACCTCAGGTCAGCACTGAAACTGCAGCAGAAACCAGCAAAAACGTCTTTTCTCACAATAACGCTGTTTGTTCTCAGGGTGGTCCCACCTCAGTGGAGCTGACAGCACGGAGTTTAAAGAGGGAGAGTACAGGGTTTGAAATGTGACAGCTCAGCTCACCCCGGCCTTCATCTGCCTCCTCTCCTGCCCAAACCCAGATGTTTTCCAGTGCTGTAAGTTTTGAGACTGTCAATCACAGAATCCTGGGATGGTTTGGGTTGGAAAGGACCTTAAATCTCATCCATGGGTGGGAAAACCTCCCACCATCCCAGGCTGCTCCAAGCCCCATCCACCCTGGCCTTGGACACTTCCAGGGATCCAGGGGCAGCCACAGCTGCTCTGGGCACCCTGTGCCAGGGCCTGTTCACCCTCCCAGCCAGCAATTCCTAATTCCCAATCTCCCATCTCACACTCCCCACTCTCTGTTAAAAAGAGAAAGTTTTATTTTAACGAGAACTTCTGCTAAGTAATAATTTCAATTCTCTGCCACCAGCACCATACACTGTTTAAATAGTTCGATGCACGAAGGAGCACTGTGCAGTTAAAATAATCAGAGTCACTATAGTAACAGTATCAGATATGTAAACCACTTAATCAAAACCCCCTCTCCTAATTATAATTTTGAGGCCTGTCACGAAGAGCACATTCAGCTGCTTTCCCCCTCGCCTCCCCATTAGAAACGTTTCTGAACAATGCTGCTCTGCACCTATAAACAAAATAGATTGCAAAAATAACCTGCAAGGCCATGACTTTGTGCTGGGCTAAAAACAGCCCAGATTGGCAGGGAGAGCTGTCATTTCCACACGGAAATTCCACGCTGCCTTCCAGCCCCGCGTTGCCCCGTGGTGCCGGCTTGGTTCTTCCCCAAATCCAGGCTCCACACCTTTTTTTGGAGGCCTGTCCCATGTCTTTATCTCAGCACGGCCCCGGCTGCCGAGGGGGGCAGTGGGGCCATGGGATCACGGAACCATTTGATGGTTTGTCAAACCATAGGAAATGGAGAAAAATTGAGGGAAAAAAGGAGGTTCTCAGCAGAGAGACAAAAAACAAGAAAAATTGAGAAAAAAAAAAAGGAGGTTCTCAGCAGAGAGACAAAAAACAAGAAAAATTGAGAAAAAAAAAGGAAGTTCTCAACAGAGAGACCAAAAACAAGAAAAATTGAGGAAAAACAAAGGAAATTCTCAGCAGAGAGGCAAAAAACAAGAAAAACTGAGGGGAAAAAAGGAAGTTCTCAGCAGAGAGGCAAAACCAAGAAAAATTGAGGGAAAAAAGGAAGTTCTCAGCAGAGAGACAAAAAACAAGCGAAGGATGACCCTCACATCCAACCATGTCCCCAAGTGCCACATTCACACGGTTCAAGGGATGGGGACTCGCCACTGCCCTGGGCCAAGTGCCAGGGCTGGACAGTCCTTTCCATGGGGAAATTCCTGCTGGTTCCACCCTGAGCCTCCCCCGGCCCAGCCTGAGGCCGTTCCCTCTCCTCCTGTCCCTGTTCCTGGAGCAGAGCCCGACCCCCCGGCTGTCCCCTCCTGTCAGGAGCTGTGAGAGCCACAAGGTCCCCCTGAGCCTCCTTTGCTCCAGGCTGAGTCCCCTCAGCTCCCTCAGGAACTCTCCATTCCCTTCCCAGCTCCTCAGGAACTCTCCATTCCCTTCCCAGCTCCTCAGGAACT